GGGCAAATAGTGGGTGAAAATATGGAAGACAATGAAGAGTCTATACTAGAAACTGTTGAAAAAAGTAGGGAAATGGTGAGTACTAAACTTGCTGAGATAGAAAAGCAGATATGTCCTGCTTCACAAGGAAGAAAAGTACTAACATTAATTAATATCCTAGTGTCATCATCAAGATCTCTGGTTCCTTGCTTCATTTTTTGTCATTCACTACAGCAGAAATCAGCTCCCATGCCTGTTATGTAGGGAAAAAAGTATGAACGAAGAAGATACCAAGAGGATTTAGACAAATCAAGGGAATTTAAAAAATCAGTTTCTCTCATCATCAGTCTCTGCTGTCAGGGCTAGAGTGGGGACGGGACGGGACATGGACAGAGGACTCTGAGCTTCTTTTCCAGTGTGCCTGTGGGCATTGCCTCAGCAATGGAGAGGAAAGGGGTATTCCCTCACCTTGGTTCCTTTTCTCCCCAGCCTCTGCCTGCTCTCCATTTGGTGTAGCCAGTTTGGTGTAGTGGTTAAGTGCGCGGACTCTAATCTGGGAGAACCGGGTTTGATTCCCCACTCCTCCACTTGCACCTGCTGGATGACCTTGGGCAAGCCATAGTTCTGGCACAACTATTCTTGAAAAAGAGCAGTTTCTGTCAGAGCTCTCTCAGCCTCACATACCTCACAGGGTGTCTGTTGTAGGGAGGGGAAGGGAAAGGAGTTTGTAAGCCGCTCTGAGACACCTTTGGGTAGTGAAGGGCGGGGTATAAATCCCATCTCTTCTTCTTCTTCTCCTGCCATTCATAGTGGGCAATACTGTCCTAGACGGACCAACAGTTGGACTCGGTGTAGTATAACATCATGTATTCTCTTTGGGCTCTGAGACCCCCTTGGGTAGTGAAGAGCTGGGTATAAATCCAATCTCCTCCTCCTCCTCCTCCTCCTCCTCCTCCTCCTCTGGCTTTGAGGACAAGACCTGTTCTTGCATCTCCTTGGCTGTCCCCAGGCATGGCTTATAAAGGAGTAGCTAGAGCCTTCCCTGGGATCCCACCAATGTGTCTCAAGCAATGTTCCCTCTAAGCTGAGTTAGTGTGAGCTAGCTCACAGTTTTTTAGCCTCTGGTTCACACATTTTGTCTTCGCTCAGGAAGGATGGCTCAAGAGCAAACTAATTTATGCAGTAGCCAAATCGCTCACTTACAACTTTAATGCCAGTAGCTCACAAAGTAGAATTTTTGCTCACAAGACTCCACATCTTAGAGGGAGCATCCAAGCCCAAATAAGGCAAATTGGAAACCAAAATCACCCACTTAGCTTCCACAGCAAGAACCTGGGTCTAGCAGACCATGCTCTGAAGTGATGACTGCTATGCCTAGGGTAGCCAACCTCCAGGTGCAGCCTAAAGAGGACCAGGTATCATAGACTCTACCATAAAATCTCCAGGAATTTCCCAGCTGGAGCTGGCAACCCTAGTCAGGACTGGCCCCAATGAGTTTTCTCCCAAAGGCCAATATAGAAGTGGAAAGGGCCTTTTACTGACAGAACCAAGCTTGGTTGCCTAGCAACAGGCACTGAGGGGAACGTAGGGTTGCCAGCTCTGAGTAGGGAAATACCTGGAGAGTTGGGAGGCAGATCATGTGGAGGGCAGTGTTTGGGGAGGTGAGGGAGCCAGCAGGGTATAATGCCATAGGGGAACCGATATCTGCCTGGCAGACCTTGCTGTGAAGCACTAACTGCTATGCCTAGGGTAGCCAACCTCCAGGTGGAGCCTGAAGATCACTGGGTATCACAACTGAACTCCAGACAACAGAACCCCCCCCCGAGAAAATAACTGCTTTGGAGGGTGGGCTCTATGGCATTCTATTCCTCTGAGGCCTCTCCCCTCCCCAAACTCTGGCTTCTGTAGACTGGCTTCCTTAGACACAGAATATCCAGGAATTTCCCAACCTGGAGCTGGCAACCCTAGTCAGGATGGGCCCCAATGACAAAGCGGTTCGAAAGCGCCATTAATATCAAAATAAGCGCAAGTAGATAAATGGGAACCTACCTTAGATGGTAGGGGGCACCCTCCCCCATCGTGGGGGTCATTGGAGGGCCGGAGCTCGGCGGACGGCGAAAGCAGCGAGTGGCGAAAATGGCACCCGGATACATCGGTGGAAAAACCAGACGGCGGTGGAGAAGGCGGAGCCGGGACGACGCACGAGCGTGGTGGCGCAGGCGGGGCGGAGCCGCGAGGACAGAGCCATGGCCACGCCGAGCATGCCGCGCGGCAGAAGGGCCAACCAATCCACCGCTGAAAAGATCGCCAGAAAAAAGGAGCCAGAAGCCGCAGCTGAAGACGACGGAGCCGACCCGAGAAAAAGAAAGGAAAAAAACAACCCCCTCCACTGCGTGCCAGTAGGGATGTCCCCACCCCTAAGAGAATTGTGGCCATAGGTTAGGGATAATGAATAACTGTAGCCGCTCAGAGACCCCTTCGGGGGTTAGAGCAGGGTAGCAATCCGAATAAATAAATAAATAAATAAATAAAGGCCTGGAAATGGTTTCCGTCTATCAGCAGCCACTGAGGGAAAAGTTAGTTGCACAGAGCAGCCAAGCAGGAGAAATGTCTTCGTCAGGAGAGACAGCTGTTTGCCAGTAATTCTGACAGGGAACAGTGGCTGAGGTGGGAGTGGGCGGGGAAGAGGTGTAGACCCAGCACCGGCCAATGGCATGTGATTACTCTTGAGTGACTGATGGAGCACACCCGGCCAATGGCTGATGGGGCACATTGCACAGCCAATGGGAGAGCTGGAAAGTGCCACCCCACTACTCAATTATATATAAGGAGAGATACACAAGTTCAACCTTCCTTCGAACTTGAGCTTTCTTACAGCGTTTTTGTTAACATCTGTCCTAGTACATTTGTATCCTCCCTTCCTCTGAAGATTTCAGGGTGGCATTCATGGCTCTCCTGTTCACCACTGTATCCTCTTAGGCTAAGAAAAAATGACCAACCCAAGGCCATACTATGGCTTCACAGCAGTGGGAATCTGAACCTGGGTCTCCTCAGTTTTAATCTGACCACTGTATAACCCTGGCTTTCACATAGTTACGTGTTTTTTTAAGTGCAGGAATTTGTGTGTGTGTGGAGGCTTAGTCACAAACATCAAATCAGCCCAGACATATGTCTGCCACCTCAATGAGAATTAGAACAAGCTTTTGAATATGTTGGGTGTACCAAGGACACAAGGGACATGAACTGTTTTCAAGTCTTAGACAGGTTAATGCCATAAGAGGCTCACTATAAGGAGAGAGTAGACTGTTTAGCTTATGGGAAGTGCCTTGTGGTCAGATCATTTGTCTGTCTAGCCCAGCATTTTCAGACATTGAGAGCTTGCTTTTTTTTTTAAGTTGAACTGGAGATGCCAGGGATTGAACCTGGGACTTTACGCATGGAAATCTTGCACCGTACTGCTGAATTATAGACCCTCTGAAAGCCCAGTATATTGAAGACATTGCTCGGGTTTCTGGAAAATTCTGAGTAGCCTGAATATCTATAGAAACATTTAAGGTAGTATTTACAAGAAACAACAGATGGTAAACAAGGAGACAGGAAGTTCGCTCTGCTTTGTGAATTAGTTCACTAGCAGACAGCTAAAGGACACGTGGGATGAGGGGGCATGTGTCCAGTCGAAATTAACCTTGGATGTAGGGCAGTTGAGGCTTAAAGCATCAGTGGTGTTTGCACAGCCGCCAGTGCCAGCTCAGTCAGCTCAGCACCGGCGGGCAGGTAGGTGCACTCGTGCAGTCTAAGCCAGGCTGGGTGAAGCTTGGATCTGGAGGGCAAATGGGGAGCCCAGGAAGATCAGAAGATGCCTGAGGTTGTGCTCCCCCCCTTTTTTTTTTGAGGTGACGAGATGTATTTCTGCTGAGGAAGGTATAAAGGATTCACAAGATACTGTGGAAAGGATGCAGAGGGATGGTCACAGAGTGCAGTTAAACGAATCGAGTTTGATAGAGTGTGTTAGAGCAAAGATCCAGGAATGCTTAATGTACCTAACCATTTGAGGAAGAACTCTAGTGGAGCAGCCCTGTTAGTCTGTTGCAACAAAAATAAATAGGAATTGTTTTATGCTAGCATGAGGTTTCATGGGCCCCCGTTTTAGACATTTGAGAAGTCCCCGAAGAGATGGTATATGGTGCAAAACCTGTATGGAACCAAGTGCACTGTTCTGTAAAGGTATATGAGATCTGAAGAGCACATGTGGCACATTTCTGTGAGCTTATAAAATACAGATGAGATCAGATTGAATGTAGTTTATAACCAAAATCATTGATGACTTTTCTAACACTGGCAAACTAAATGTATTTACATAAAGTAGGTTCCAGTAAAAGAAATTCCAAGTAAATGCATTTAGGATCCGAGTATTAGACTGGTATTGGATTGTTGAGAATAATAAAACATACAGAACGTATAGTATTCCTGTATTAAAGTTGCTCATTCTGTACTATATGGGAAATGAAGTCAATTTACCACGTTTCAAATTGAATACCTGAAGTGGGAATCTTCATACTTTTAAAATTACTTTTTAGATGTTTCTAGGCAAATGTTCCATATTATCATAATGTGTTGTGAGAATTTATTTGATATGCCTGTCTCACTAGATTAAATTTTGGAAAAGATCCTTTTAGTTTTGTCAGTTTTAAAGTTCCATTACTACAAAACCTGGAGTATTCCTGTAACACGATCTCTTCAAATTGACTGTAAAATCTATGTATTCTTCTTGCCCAACATGATTATATATTTTACCAGCTACATACCTGTGCGACTATTGTTGATCTCGGCTTGTCTTGATGTGATACAACGATGCTATCTGCAGGGTTACAGAGACTTAATTAAGATGATGCCTTTTTAGCAGTCTAATACTGAAGCAAAGCAGTGTGACAGATTGTGTTTTAGACCATCCATGCCTCCATTGTACCCAGACTTAACTCTTGACTCTTCTGCCTCTATTTGCTTTTCTGTGTAGTGACACGATGGCTTCTATTTCTGAACGCACTTTCATTGCCATTAAGCCTGACGGAGTACAGCGGGGCTTAGTGGGAGAAATTATCAAGCGATTTGAACAGAAAGGATTCAAACTGGTGGCTATGAAATTAATTCATGTAAGTTTTCTTCTTCAGTCATTCCTCTGTCCAGATAATGCCATCCATTAGAATAAATGTCATTTACTTTTTACCATGGGCTCCTGTCAAAAGTCTCATTTTTTGTATATGTTAGCCTGGTATTTTGGAGTCTTTCCAGTATCTAACAGAAGATAAAGCCATCCTGAGCACTCTAATTTTAGTAAGCGGATGTATTTAATCTAAAAGCAGTGCCCTTTGAGGTTTATTTTAAACTTAATGCTTCACCTGTCATCAGACAAGCAAATACTGTTTTGGCAATGTGTAGGTGAAAAGCACTATGCCAAAGAAAATTTCAAATGTGCACTAGTCAAGTAAATTAGCCCACCAATAAAGTGCTGGTCCAGTCTGTGACAAGCTCACATGCAATATAAGGATTAATATTACTTCTGTGGTTAATCTAATGTGACACAAGATGTTCTTATTTATTCTTGTAGGCCTCTGAAGACCTTCTGAAAGAACACTACATTGACTTGAAAGACAGACCATTCTTTGCTGGTCTAATTGAATATATGCACTCTGGTCCTGTTGTGGCCATGGTAAGTTTTCAACAAGTAAAGATGTAGGAATAGATGGGTAATCTATCCCTCATTTGCTCTATAGCTGTTGCCTGAATCCTTGCAATTTGGACTATTAGCAAAAATTAAACTTCTAATTCTTGAGACAGTGAAGAAAATTCACAGAATATAGTGTTGATGTTCTAAGAAATGACAGAGGAAGTATAAAAGAAACTGATAATAATGAACAAGGTCACAAAATCAGTGAGAGACTCGGGGCTTTTTTTGTAGAAAAAGTCCAGCAGGAACTCATTAGCATAATAGGCCACACCCAACAGCAGGAACTCATTCGCATATTAGGCCACACCCCTGACAGCACAGCTCATTAGCATATTAGGCCACACCCCCATGTTACCAGAAGTGTGGTCATCCAGCCACACCCACCTTTTGCTTCTTATTCTGTTTACCTTGTTTGTTGTCAAAACCCAGGGCTTTTTTTGTAGCAGGAACTCCTTTGCATGTTAGGCCACACACCCCTAATGTAGCCAATCCTAATGAGTTTCTGCTGTTGGGTGTGGCCTGTTATGCTAATGAGCTCCTGCTTGACGTGGTCAACTTGGGAGCCAGCTGGAACTCCATTCCTGTGCGTTCCTGCCCAAAAATAGCCCTGGAGAGACTAAATCATAAATTCTGGAGCAGAAAAGCTATTTGTGGGATATTGGGAAAGAGGATCATGACAAAACAGCTCCATGTATTTCAGTAATTACATTTAACATATAATAAAAATGGTTACTACACTGTGTTTGTTAGCAGACAATTATCTAGACTTTCTCACATTAAAAATGAATGTCTAGCAAAGCCTGACATTAAAGAATCTTCAAGTCAGAAATGTCAGGGTAAGTAATATTGCAATGCTATTCTAAGCAGAGTTACACCTTTCTGTATGAGCATGTTCATGCCTGAGGGGTATTTTTGAAATACACTTTCTGCTTGGTAGCCCTTAGAAGGTGGGAGCACTCTGCTGCAAAGAGGAAGGGAGAAGATTTTAAAGTCATGCAATTGTCATGTCAGAGGCTGCAGTTGCATGTAGCCAGTAATATCACCTGCACCATCCATTGGTGTTTCCAGATGTTCATGGAACTGCAATTAACACAGCATTGCTACTTGCTGTAGCCCTACGGCTTGAAGAAGGGATTTTCTTTGCCAAAGCAACAGTGTTTGAAAACTGAGACAGTTCAATAAACCTCAAACAAAGTGCCTTTCTTGAGGAATGTGTGTGATGGATATGATACAAATATATCTATGAAAAACTATCCTTGAGATCTAGAGGAGCTGATCTCATCAGAATAAACACTACATAGCAATGCCAGCTCTGGGTTGGGAAATTCCTGGAGATTCTGGGGGCAGAGCCTGAGGAGGGCAGGATTTGGGGAGGGGAGGGACCTCAGTGGGGTATAATGTCATAGAGTCCACCTTCCAAAGTGGCCATTTGCTCTAGGGGAACTGACCTCTGTAACCCAGAGACCAGTTGTAATTCTGGGATACCTCCAGCCACCACCCAGGTAACCTGAATTATACATGATGCAGTTTCAGACAAGCATAGGGATCCCAAGTCCCCCCGGGGGGCGGGGAAACCCCTGCCCCAGATGCCCGTTCCCCGGCGGTGCTGGATCGGGCCCCGGGGGAATTCCTCCCCGACGTGCGCGTCACCCAGAAGTGACGCGGGCACGCTGGGCACGGGGCCACAGCCATACAAGGGAAAACTCTATGGTTTTCCCTTGCATGGTCGTGGCCCTGCCCCCAGCGTGCCCAGCGTCATACCGTCACTTCCTGGTGACGTGTGTGCAGCATGCACGCTCCGGGATCCACCCAGGAGTCCCCCACCGCCAAGGTAAATTCCACTTGGCAACCCTAGACAAGCATCACATATACATTTGTTGCTTGATAAACTGTCCAAAATACATAGTTATATATATGTAAGCCCCATACAAATTAAAATGTGGAATCCACTGCCAGCGGTTGTAGTGATCACTGCAGGCACAGAAAGCTTTAGAAGGGGATTAGGAAGATTTATGGAGGATAGGTCTATCAGTCGTTACTAGACATGGTGACTGTAGGGAACCTCCACATTCAGAGGCAGTAAACCTCTGAATGCCAGTTTCAAGAAGCAACATCAGGGAAGGTCTTGGCCAGTGTTTCCTCTAAGCTGAGTTAGTGTGAGCTAGCTTTGTTTTTTAGCCTCTGGCTCACGCATTTTTGTCTTCGCTCAGGAAGGATAGCTCCAGAGCAAACTAATTTATGCAGTAGCCAAATCGCTCACTCACAACTTTAATGCCAGTAGCTCACAGAGTAGAAGTTTTGCTCACAAGACTCCACAGCTTAGAGGGAGCATTGGTCTTGGCCTATGTGCCCTGTTGTTGGTCCTCTACTAGATGGCCACTGTGTGAGACAGGATGCTGGACCAGATGGACCACCAGTCTGATCCAGCAGGGCTCTTCTTATGTTCTTAAGTAAATCACTAGGGCTTACGTGCATAAAATGTTATCCTGGATGATGTCCATTATCTGTAACAGCTTTTACAAAGCCTGACACGAAGTTCTTCGTCTTCTGGCTATACTCAGTACATATACAGAAATGTAATGTAAGAAAATGTGACCTTCTCATTTGTAGAATCACTTTAATCTGTTTTTGTATGTGTGGTTAAAGGTATGGGAAGGCCTTAATGTCATTAAGACTGGCAGAGTAATGCTGGGAGAAACTAATCCTGTAGATTCCAGACCTGGAACCATTCGTGGAGACTTCTGTGTACAAGTTGGCAGGTAAATGTCCTTTTGTCAAATCCCCCATTCACTAGCCCTCTCCCCCAGGCTCACATTAACCTTCTGCACCATATTCTCAACTTCATCCTTTGTCAGCTGTTCCATTTTTCACATCCTGCCAATTGCATATCATTCCCCATTCAACCAATCCTCCCAGTGCTTTGTCCCTTGTCTAGTTTCCCCATGACCATGTACTGCACCCTTACACCACCAAAGCCCCACTGCAGAAGCCAGCTGATGCCCAGTTCTTGGGAGGCAAGAGAAGAACCAAACTCTTTGCTGCAGCCTTGTGACAGAATGCTAGGTAGACACCTTGGTGGCTGCTGAGGCTGGCTTAGTAACCTTGGAGATAACAAGTAGGGGACCTGCAAGGACTTGCAGGGGTATCTAATTTCCCACTCTGTCCCTTTGCTGAAAGCCACTATGGCACCACCCCTTTTCCTGGTTCCTACCTTTATCTGCCCCATCTTCAGCTTTTCTTCCCTCCCCCAACAGGCTCTGTCTAGGAAAACTGTGGCCTTGTTGTGCAGTGCCATCCACAAGGCTGGGCCCAGTTGTACACTTTGAGGAACCTGCAAGACCTGGGGGGTGGGGTACCTAATTTTCTCTCATATCCCATTTTGTACAGTATTTCCTCTTTCCC